AAGTTCCTCTGGGTTTAAATTTAGAATAAAAAAGGCAGAAAAAAATGTGGTTTGGAGTTGAACGTGTTGGATGTGTATAGGCTAGGCAAAACATCCAGAACTTTGCAAAGTTCTTTCTTCAAAGTTCTTTGCAAAGTTATTTCAACAGAAATTATACGATTCTGTAAACCTTTATCAGTACTTTTAAGAATTCATGTAACTTTTTTTGCCATGTATAAGCATTTGAGCATAAATTTATAAACTGCTTGAGACATTGCTATCCTTGCCTATACAGTGTTGCTATTCATATTTAATACGACTATAATAACTACTTCTTTGTTTTGTGTAAAAATTTAGAGTCTGCTGATGTCTGACGGGTACATCTACAAGCTTGAGAGAAAGTGTTACCTCATGGTTCTATTAATTTTTGGGATGTGCATAAATGGCAGTGCTCTTGTCTTGCTCTTTCTCTGTTTCGTTCTGGGCTCAAATGAATTAGTGTTAAGAGAGCAACTGAAAATTAAGGAACACTAACAGGCTTCAGTATCTGAATCCAAAGATGCTGCTAGGTATTTAATTCTCAAATTTAGTCCAGTAGTTTTACACTGTATTTGCTGACCTACTTAACATGTTAAATGTACTACGCGCACAATTTGCCATTAGCCTGCAGCAGTCAAACCACAGACTCTAAATTAAGGAAAACCTTTGTTTTCATTATATTATATTCTGTCAAACAATGACTGTACCTCTCTCCAGTTGCCTGATGTATTATTATATTTTAATGCATTTAAGCACCTCGATTAAAGACAGTCTCTCATTCCTGTGAGGGTTGCTGTTCAAGTCTGTGCTACTTGTGCTATTTAAAGACAGCCAGTTTGGAGCAGCATTCACATCTTAGTTTGGGATTTAAATGTCTGCTCAATGTGCATTCACATCACATATTAAGGAATGCTTGTGTTTGGAGAAGTAAACCAGGAATATCCCACGTCTAGCATGCAAAGAGATTTTGATGTAGGGTTTGTGTATCTTGATAGATCTCTTCGCAAAAGCCACTTCATATGATGCAGTCTAATGAGATTATTCATTGCTTAAAGAAAGGAGATGGAAAATACGGTATATTCTGGCAGGTGGAGTTGAATAAAACTACCACACTTAAAATACTTTCACTGTGTATTTGTTGTAGTATTGTTTTGTTTTGGCCTGTTGTTGATGAAGAGTTCATATTTCTCAGTCAGAAATCCAAAGGAATTCTTACTGAATAGTCTTTCAACAACTTAGAATAAATCAAAGGGGGTTTTAAAGTAGTTTGTAGAATTAGGTGTCTTTGCCTCTTAAGCTGTTTTGCTGCATTACTGTTTTATAAATGATGTAGCTCCTGTATTTCAGAATTGGTCATCCAAAACAAATTTGCTTTCATCTGCTGGCTACGAATGCTGTCATAGTCTGACATAAATAATCTTAACAAGGGGGGGGGGAGGCATTTTTTAAGATGGGAAGTATTTATTGAGAAGCAAAGATTTCAGAGTAGGGGACTTATAGAAAAGGTGGAGGAGGGAAGCAAGGCAGATGAGTGGTGGACAAGAAAGGAAGGAGATACTGTATATTAAGCTATGGGAACAAGAAATAGTATTCTGTTGTCCTCTTTTTAATACTGGAGCACGCTGGAGAATTTGTTTACTCGTTGGTGATGATATTAGTGTATTCTTTTTAAGGTTATCTTTTTTCCTTCTCCTCCCCCTCCTTCGTTTTTGTTGTCCTTTGAGCATCCACCCACCCTGTTCTATTCATAAGTGAGTGTCGGCTTCTGTTTTGGCTGACCTTATATTCCTTCCTGAGAGGCAAAGCGTACTATATCAAAATGCTAGATACTCTCTGCAGCAGATTGTGAAATGCCAGATATGCTTCTCATCTATTTTGGAAAGCTTTTGCTAGTTTTAGGTTGCAGTTTGAGTGAATTACTTAATATTTGCACAGAATGTCTTCAGTTTTTACTTCCTTAAAAAATAAATGTGTTTACTGTTGTCCTATAGACAAATCATTTTTTTGAACAACTGTTTTTTTTTGTTTTGTTTTGTTTTTGTTAGGTCACTTCCTGTGTTTCTTGAAACACCAGTTTCTTCAAAAGTTGGGACTCAGCCATTAAAACTCAAGTGAAAGGAAATTTTAAGCATTGTAAAGAAGGAGAATCAATTGCTTGACTTATCTGAGACTTTGATTACAGTTGTGCTTAACTAGATTTGTTTTACTTTTTAATAGGTGGTGCAGAAATGCGAGGAGGACAAAACTCCATGTGTTTTTTTTTGGTGTGGTTTGTTGTGAAACTGCTATATGGAGTTGGTTTGCCCAACAGAAACAAATGTTAAAATTTAGGAAAAACTTCATGTAGTGAAATCTAAACTACTGCTTCTGTACAAATTGTGACTTAATTATCTAAAACTAACCAGAGAAAGGTATTGTACTAACTAGACCCTTCTGTTTTTTTATTTTATTTTTTTAAAAAATGTGTGTTGAATGGCTTGTTTCACTTGAGGCAAGTACTTAAAATTAGGCTGATAGACTCCTGTTTATAAAACAGAATTCTGTGCTCTTACACCTTTAGTGTTAAGAAAAGTTAAGTCACTTTTTTTTCAGTAAGAAATGACTTCAGATTTAAAATGGCTGCTTCGATTTCTCCTGCATGAGCAGAGCAGGAGAGCAGGTTGCGCTGTAGCTGTGCTGTAAACCTATGGAGTGAAAGTCTGTATGTCAGGTGTTTTCTTCACAGAGGAAGATGGATTTATTTTATTTTTTTTTAGTTTCTGTATGTGGAAATAAATTGCATTAGTGAAATAATTACAGTTTAACCATTAGCTAGGTAGACTTTTGGACCTATTGAATTGGAAACGGAACTGCTTGCGAATAAGAAAGCTACTGAATCTGCAAAAAGATCCAAAATGCTTATATGTACTCCTAATTTACTCTTTACTCTCTTCTCTTCATCTTTACTCTTCCTCTGCAAAACACAAAATGAAACGAATCTAGATGTCTATTTTGTATAAATTTTACAGCTGCTATGTAAGTAGAATGTTCTTCCAGATTCTGAGGTATAATAGCAGCTTTCTCATTAATGTCTCAAGAACGTTACAGTATAAATACTGTCATTATGTTTTGTAAAAGTAAGAACATAGGAAGAAAATTGTTGTGCATTAATGAGGTTCTGAAACATTTTTTGCCTGCTGCTAAAATGCTTGAAGCACAGGAGTGCTTAAAGGTTGGTTTCAATCAATAGAGCAGATTACCATGATTGTGCTGTCACAAGGCACTTTATCTAAGGCATTTCACTTGGGTTTAAGTCAAGCAGTGAAGGGCTATGTACTTCGAAGAACAAGCAAGAAGATTTTGCTAAGAGTAGTCTATTTAATGTTCATTTACTTGATTTGCAAGTAGCTGCAAAAGAAGCCATCTGAATTGAAAAAGCCTGTGTAAATAGTTCTTACAGTAAAGATTTAGTTTGCTTGTCATACTTTCCAGTGTAATCATTGAACTTTATTTTTGGTAATTCGGTTCGATGTGGATTTGGAATTTTAGTGATGCTACTGCTTACAGAAAGCAAAGTTATACTATGCATTAACCAAGGCCTATGTGACATTAATTGAACTCCTAATTTATATGCATGGTGAAAGTATTTGATTACTTAATTTCATACTAACTTGTTTGTAGCTCTGCTTATTCTTAAGGGAAACTGAAGCAATTGGTTCCGAATGTGATGTTATTAGATACGCTCCTAGTTCTGGGTATGGTGCAAACAGACGTGATTTTGGGGTAGAATTAATCATTTTAGATTTGTTGTGCCATCTTTTGCCATTTGAGCTAGTAGACGAAGAACAATAGTAAATTGCCATCACCTCTGGACCTCATGGCAGGTGATGAGCGCTGCCAAGTGTATCTGTAATTCCTTTTGGCAAACAGTGTTTGCTACTCAGCCTTTTCTTTCCCTTCCAGCAGCTGGAGAAGTGTGCTCCTGTTGGTACATAGTTTGCTGCTAAAGTTCTGAAGAAAAATCAGCGTTCAAATGATTAGGGAAAGTTCATCTACTGCAACGTTGGGGAGGAGCTTATTTCACGAAAAGTATGGCTTGTTTAATTTAGCTGAAGGCTGAGGAAGTGCAGTTGTGATCTGACTGATGTATAAGCACATATCTTTCTGCTTCCCTCTTTCCCAGTGGTGGGGGGTAGCAGACAGGGGAATACCTATCTAAGCTGAAAGCTGTTACTGGTCCAAGAGCACAAAAGTCCAAACATTCTTCCTCCATAAATATATTTAAGATCTGTTTCTAAGCATGAGAGCAAGAAAAGATACCCTTCCATAAGGTTTTTATATCACAGCTCTAAATTGTTTTCAAGGAAGGGAATGAAGGCTTGGTGCCTTTGGTAGCATTTTCTGGGCCTCAGGACTCCAGAGCTCTCCATTCCCAAGAAGAAAGGTGCCAACAGTTGTCTCATATGAAAAATCTCTGCAGTGAACTTGATGTGTTTTTTTCTGCATGATTTCTGGCAACCTTTTCTTGAAGAGATATAAAACAAGTTCTCTGGTTATCATTCTATTTAATACAGTGGTCCATCCATTTAGTAGAAACAATACAGATTGTACTAAGTCCTCTATGTAGCATGTTTCATCTTAGCTAATTTGACAGTCCTTTTCATTATTAGAACCTACTAGTGACACGATTGTTCATCTTAAGCATCAGTTATCCTTTGTGTAACTTGAATCTACTTTTGTACTCTGTAATGACTCTTTCTGAACTATTTTATTCAAGTACCCTTTATTTAAAAGAGTGAGATTAGGAATGACAGTGTGGCAAGAATTCACCACAGACTCTCTTTAAAACCACAATCGTATTATGCATTGTCAAATACTCATTAATCTTTTAAATTCCCTTTTCAAGAGAGACATATTGGTAAGGAAACATAACTGTTTATATTTTGCATTTCTTCTAGGCATAAGATGTAATTATTATTGTTGCCTTTTTTTTTTTCTTTCAGCCCAGTGTATTAATTGTGAGTTACAAGGAACTGTCAAAAGCAGCTTCTCAGTTTGGACCGTACAAACAAGCAGAATGGCGGCCTGACAGCACTATGATAGCTGTTTCAGTAAGTAGGGTTTTTGTGTTTTTATATATTGCACTTAAATGGTTGTAAAGAGAGTTCTTTACTACCAGTTTCCTTGCAGAAATCTTTAGACGGTATGTACATTTGACTGATACTTATTGTGTGCAAATACGTAATAGTACAAAATGTGTTTTCGGATGATAGAAGCTTTCTTAAGTAATTTTAGTACATTTTTACCCCTAAAAATGAACTGTGTTTCTTTGTATTAAAATGATGTTTAATGTATTCACTGCAGCATCACTTTATTTTAGTAACCTGATCACAAATAAAAAGGGAATTTAGAGGCATGTGAATAACAGAAATAACTAAGGAATTAGGTGACATAAGCATGTGTAGCTTGATAAATAGTATTTACAGATATTTCGGAAAGATGTGTCTTTAGTGGATGAAAATGTGGATGGAACGATGAAATCTTGTCTTGCATATGAAAATAAAACATTTAGTCATGTTTCATTGCTAGTGCTGTGCTCACGGAAGTTGAGCGGACTATTTGAGCTCCAGTGTTCAGAAGTAATTTTGAGGTGTAAGGTAGTCACAGTAAAGGTGGGAGCAGAAATTTCAGAAGTCAGAATACAGTATCTTGCAACTTTTGACCAGGTCTTAAGTTTAGGCGTGTTAATTCTAATAGCATTTTAAATCAAGGCTGTTGCTGTGAGATGGTGTGGAAGACGGAAATCGTTAAAACTATCCATCAGAAGATGGGCATGTGGAATTGCAAATCGGACAGTAGCTACTGTAATTGTTTGGTACAGTAATTTAATCTCCTGATATAAACCACTCTTTGTACTTACAATGATGCCTGTAGTGTCTTGGAGTTTTTAAATCAATCAGGTATTGTTATAGTGGAAAATACCGGATGTTTTATGGAATAGCTCCTGCCTCTACCATTACCTTCATGCCTCAAATCAACTAAACTGCTGGTGATCCCATTTTTGTGTATATAATGCTGGGGTAGACTTTTATCAGTAGTTGATTTAGAATGTTTAAACTACCTAAAAGGAACTGGTGAAACCAGTGCAGGAAAGTGTTTCTATTAGTGTAAGATTTTATCTGCAGATCTTATGTGTTAATAGTTACGAGTAAAGGCAAAAAGGAGAATTCTATAGCATTTGCCATGAATGAACAAGTAATTCTTTGATTTTTAAAACACAGAATATGGTCACAAGTGAACTACCCATTTCAATTACATCTTTATGCTGGAATTCAGAAGAGATTTAGATTTTTAAATTTAATTAGTTTGTATATTATTTTTTTCTGTGATATTGGGATCAATTTGCTGAAGAGACATTATTGTTCAGCTAACATACAGACTAGCTTTATTTTTTGCCCATTCAGTTACCGCACTTTTAAGTTTTTCTGCAGCTAAAAGCATTGTGTTCTTTTCTGCAAATGACGTCAGATTGTAAATGCTTGTATCTTAAAGTCTGTTTGTAAACTTAAATTTCACAAAATAAAACTCAAAATGGTCAGTTTACAAAATAACTGTCATGACTTTTCCTAATATCCGTGTTTCTTATGTTAATATTGCATTTCCTGAGAGTGTGTGTGTGTGTAGACAAATACGTTTATTATACTAGTTTTATCATCAGCTTTGGATAGCAATTTTTTTTAATAAGCTGTTGAAACACGTATGAGGTTTAATTTAAAACAGATATGAGGTTTAATATAAAACAGAGAAGACTACTCAGATATAGAAACGCAGATACTTTTGTTATAGAGAGACAGTGGACGAAAGGCAGTAATGGGAGGCCTAATTAAGAAGGTGTTTCTGCTGATGCATGGCAATCTTGTCCCCAAGTAAAACTATGCACTTCTTTCCAATAGAAGAGGTATTGTGTCCATTCTTTGTGACTTTTCCTTAAGGAGAATACTCATAGGAACAAGTGAAGGAGCTGGTAGCAAGGCTAGCTAATAAATAAAAATATTTTACACTTCTAGTTTTGTTGGTTATTAGTGCAGTCCTATGCCATAGCTTAAACATCTTAATTTGAAAGCTTTTCAGTGATTTAGTTTTTAGCTGTTGTTACCTGTGCCCTTGAATTTATTGATTGTAGTTGTGTGTGTAATAATAAAATTGTTGTACTTGGTTTTTCAAATGTGAACAGAAGTTTTTTTTTTTTTATGTTCTTAGCAAATGTATCACTTAGCTGTTTTTTTTAAGTGACAATGATGGGCAGGGTAGTTGGGAGTCAGGGGCTTTGATCCACAGTGGATGGGCAGATCCATCACAGTGGATGGGCAGTGCTCTCTCTTTCTCTCTCTCTCTTTCTCTCTCTCTCTTTCTCTCTCTCTCTTTCTCTCTCTCTCTTTCTCTCTCTCTCTTTCTCTCTCTCTCTTTCTCTCTCTCCTTTTCTCTCATCTCTCTTCTCTCTCTCTCTTTCTCTCTCTCTCTTTCTCTCTCTCTCTTTTCTCTCTCTCTCTTTCTCTCTCTCTCTTTCTCTCTCTCTCTTTCTCTCTCTCTCTTTCTCTCTCTCTCTTTCTCTCTCTCTCTTTCTCTCTCTCTCTTTCTCTCTCTCTCTTTCTCTCTCTCTCTTTCTTTCTTTCAAGTGTTCTGAGAATCTCAGAAAAAAATTTCTTCATAGCGTTTGTTGTGAGGTGATTATTATTGTACTAAAGGCAACCTTTGATCTAACACATGAGGCATTATAAAATACCTCAGGTAGCTTTAATGGTATGCAGTTAAACAAGCTTAAGCAGTTCCCACACTGTCATCCTCTAGAAATTCTAGCTTCTATTACTAATAGTATCTTTTAGTGCTAAACTCTTGGCACATCTTTAAACTGACTGTCTTGCTTTGAACTATCACATATTCACTATGATTCGTATATTGTTGATTTTGGTAGAAAGTAACCAGGATCAAACTCTACCTCCCCACCCCACCCCCACTCCCTCACCCTCCCAGTATTTTGCAGTTTCTTCTCTCGTATTGGTGTATTTGTAATTTTTCTACTGTTACTGTCTAGATTAGTATATACACCCATAGTAGCTAATTCTACTACCTTAATAAACCTGTGAAGTGAAGCAAGATGTTTCAATGTAGAGAAGAATCCCAGGCATTGTAGTCTTTCCCCTGGTGTTTCCCATAGCTAAAGCAGAGCTTTATTAGATACTGTAGCATATGAGAAACCGTGTAGTGATGTCTCTTGCAAGGCACTGAATGTTTATACTTTGATCATATTCATTCTGATAGGTTTTTATATTGTTTTAGAAATGTTTGTGACGCAGTGAAACTCACTGGAGTAACCAGCACTGTCACATGTTCCCTAATCAATTTGCAACAAGTGCATGGTCGAATGCTTCTGCATTTCAGCCAGCTATTCATGGAATTTGAGGTTCAATTTAGAAATGAAGCTGTAACAATAGCAAGTTGTGCTTTGAATGGGATTTAGCTAAGGCCTTTGTACCTTAATATCAGTATAAAGATTACTTCACAGTATTGTTTTACTTTTCCTTCCAGTATAAGGTAACTTAGTGGTTAAATAATTAATGATGTAATGGAAAGAACTTGTAAAGATGTTAGAAAAGAGCATGTTTCTTTACTGCGTAATGCCTGAACATGATATTGCTGCACGTGGAAAATCTTCCATTTAATTTTGACCTGTCTCAAGATGATCATTATCATTTGGATTTTAGTTTTGCATAAGAAAAATATTTGCTTTGAATGAAAACAGTGGTGTTCTAAGTATATTCTTGACGTTTATGAAACTGAAAGGAATTTCTTTCGCAATAAAGCAAAATATTTGAGTGGGTAAAAAATGGCTTCTGTGAACTGATGAAGTAAGCTAACAAGTACTGCTGTTTCCTTTATTCCCGGAAAAGGAAACCAACCTTGCAAAGCAACTTGACAAGAAGCACCGAAATGCATAGTTTCTTTTAGTAATAGTGCTTTAGGTACATGCCTAGCTCATATTAAAATATTTGTATGGATCTACTGGTTAACTGAAATGTATTTGCCAGAAGGTCAAATTTGTGCTTTAAACAAATCTTATATATTAATTTTGAACAACTAACCTTACCGGTCATCTGCTTGTCTTGTGGTTATACAAACACTCGATCAGCTTCTACACATCTGATAACTAAATGATTTATATTCATTATCCGAATAGCATTGTAGTTTAAAGTCAGTCTTCCAGAATAACAGAATGTGACTTGGTATTGGATTATAGTAAAACTTTTTTTCAGGCACTGGAAGATTTTAAAAAGGCATTATGATAACAAAAGGTACTGTTTGACAGGAGAATTTTTCAAAACCTACCTGGATGACTAACAGCAAGAGGCTGTGCTTACCTTCTTTGCAGTCTTCTGCAGAGAGGGACCTGGGAGTCCTGGCGGGCAGCAGGCTGACCACGAGCCAGCAATGTGCCCTGGTGGCCAAGAAGGCCAATGGGATCTTGGGGTAAATCAGGAAGAGTGTTGCCAGCAAGTAAAGGGAGGTGATCCTGCTCCTCTACTCTGCCCTGTGAGGCCTCACCTGGAGAGCTGTGTCCGGTTCTGGGCTCCCCAGTGCAAGAGGGACATGGAGCTACTGGAGAGAGTCCAGAGGAGGGCTACAAAGGTGACTAGAAGACTGGAGCACCTGTTGTATGAGGACAGGCTGAGAGAGCTGGGCCTGTTTAACCCAGAAAAAAGAAGACTGAGGGGAGACCTCATCATTGTGTACAGATTTATGAGGGGAGGGTGTCAGAAGGATGGAGCCAGTCTCTTTTCAGTTATGCCCAGCGACAGGACAAGAGACAACAGGCACAAACTGAAGCACAGGAGGTTCTGTCTAAATATAAGAGGGCATTTCTTTACTGTGAGGGTGACAGAGCACAGGAACAGGTTGCCCAGAGAGGTTGTAGAGTCTCCTTCTCTGGAGATATTCAAAACCTTCCTGGATGCCCTCCTGCACAGTGTGCTCTACGTGATCCTGCTCAGCAAGAAGGTTGGACTGTATGATCTTCAGAGGTCCCTTCCAACCTCAGCCATTCTGTGATACTGTTATGTCCATCTGCGTTCAAGTAGATGGAAGTTTTGCTCTGAAGGTTTGATACATACTACTAGATGCTTACTGCATTAACTCTCTCCTTTGCAAGAAGCATAGTTCCTTCTCTCCTATTGAAAGCACAAGTTGTCATTTCTACAGGCTCATTTCTCCTTTTGATAATTAGGTGCCCCAGTTCTGAATATCTGCTGTAGCTGTCTGGTCTTATGTATTTAGATCTATATGAGCTGGGAAAATCTCTGTTGGACACATACATCCACAATGTTTTTTTCATATTTTCTTTCTGTTCTGAGTGATCCATTCAGTGGATTTTAAGGGATAGTAGGGATTTTAATTAGAATGAATTTCAAAGTACCATTTTTCAATATGTCTGAAAGTTGATACAAGTGTATATTTGTGCTTAATATACGTGAGACATACATAGAAATTAAAAGAATCTGTATAGACTTTACTCATGCTTCTAGACCAGATGTGTATTTATCAGTATTTCTCTTTCAGACTGCAAAGGGATACATCTTGTTTTTTGAAATCCCATCAGCAAGAGACAAGTATCTTTATGAGCCAATGTATCCGAAGTAAGTATTTTAAACTTTCTTTTGCATCCCCACAATGCGGAAAAATACAACCAGACAAGTCCTAGGCAGATAATATGATTAAAAACATATTCTTCCAGTGTGTGTTTTAAACATTGTTACGTATATGGAGCATCATTCTCACGAGCTGTAGTCAGTTCAGAAGGAAGCTGATTTACTTGGTTTGCTGTTCACTGATAGGATTCCTTAGGTCAATTTTATGAGTTCTCAAAATTCTAAATACCAGGGTTGAAATCATCTAATTCTGTAATTGATTTAAGGCAGTCTATTGAATTCCTGATTTGTCACAAGCCTTAATAGTTAGTTTAGAATAGTCCAGTTAAATAAATCATTTTTCTTAGGAATTATGAGGGTACAGGTTTTTAAGGGTTCCTGTCCTCCCTCCAGCTTTGTAATAACTTAGAGATTTTTGAAACAAAGAGGGAAGGAATTCTCAAAGAAAGAATATGAACTGTTCTTAGTTAGAATATGCAAATATTTTAGCTGTAATGTGTTATATTGTCATTATCTTATTTTCCTTATTTTGAACCACATAATACATTCCTTTTGTTAAAATGTAAAGTGAAATCACATTGGATATGTTTGTGGTTGACTTCTTTGAGTTCTAATGTGATTTGGCAAAACTGAAAAATATTTAGGAGACATGAAAACCTTAAGGGGTGTATTTGTGTGTCTTTGTATGTTCACATGGCTAGAATCTGTAGTCATTGATAGGATCAAATTTGCCTAGAGGAACAGTGAAATGCTCCTTTGTGGTGTATGTATGTTTTCATGTTTTTATAACAAGTTTAAACAAAGTTTATGGGTAGGTGTCTGCACGTAGAGATGTGTGAAGAGTGCTGGGTAACTGATGATATCACATAAGGGGAAAACATTTTAAAATAACTATTAAGTCATTAGTGTTTAAAATTTTAATTTTTGTGAAGATCTGGGTTTTTTAATCTCAATTCATTTACAAGTATTTATAGGAAGAAATGACTTAGCAGCTAGTAGATGATTTCAAACTGAATTAGTTCTTGCTTCATTAAGTGGAAAATGGTGTGTACAACAATACTGTAATGCATCTTTTTGCCTCTGAAACAGCCTTCAAAGTTCTGAAATTAAGTGGAATTTACTGTTTCCCATATTTGTCTGTTTTCCAAAAACTTAAGACCAATATAGATATGTTATATTACATTACTTGTCTTTTCTGAGACAGATTTTCACGCTGACTTTTCACATCTGACTTACAGTCATCAGATAAAAAGAAGAAAGAAAAGAGAAATTTAACTTGATAAAAACCTGTTGAAATGAATAAAGGAATAGTAGTATATCTACAGTTGCACATAAAGCAGAAGCCTACATTCCCAACGGAAGAGCATAATTGTTTAATTTTCAACTGTTAAAATCTAAAACTGAATGGAAGTCTGTATAAAATATGCAGTAAGCAAGAAAGAAGTCTTAGAAAATTTTAGACACGACACATGAAGGCAGGTTTCAAAATATCTATTAAGTAGTTAATGATAGCTGTTAGTTTATGTTAAGTTAGTTAATGACCGGTTAGTTTACCTTTCATATAAAAGTATTAAGTGTTTTTTGTTGTAAACCTAAAAGTGTATGTTTTATGAAAAACTATCTGTTAGATGAGCTGTGTGTTGAATGGCAATATATTTTAGATGTATTTATCTAGCCAAAAGGATATAGCCAAAAGGATATAATGCTTTTTCTATGTCTGAAAAGGACAAGGTGAATGTCCCTAGAGTGTTCATGATGGCTTGCTCACAATCTCCTAAGACTAATTCATGGACTTAACTTTAAGAAGATGAATGATCTCTCTGAATTTACTGGGATTACTAGTCTGTCTATATTTAGCTCTCAATTTTGAAAACCTACTTAACATTACTACTGTTCTGGTTATATTAATCAAAAGAAAGACATAAACCCAATAGCATTTCTGTGTAAATCATCTGCTGTGATTAACTTCAAATTTCTGTAAGCTCTTATGAGGAGTTGAATTTTCTGTGCAGCTGCATTGCTTTGTCTTGTAGACAGTTTCTGTAGTTCTTTGTAGTTTCTCTTTTGTAGATCAAATATTGAACAAACAAATGAAGGGGGAAAAAAAAAAAGAACAGACACACAAATCCAAAATCTCTGGACTGAAACTAACTTTCTTTTAGGATACGTTTGTTTTCCAAAGAGTAGGTTATTTCACTGAAACACTGGATTTCATTTCTACTGGACCGAACAGTATTAAAAAATGCATTCTGTTAACTTTGAAATTATGAAAAGTCATTGTAAGGGATCATACTTGACTTGTATGGTGTATGAAAGGGGTCACCTTACTGTTTTGTCCCACTGTAACAGGGTGTTCTTGGCTCCTTCCTCTATGTTGGCAATAGTCATTATGCAGCTGAGCCTTAAGGCAAGCCAGGTTGCTGACCCCATGGAGAAGCTAAACCTGCCTCTCTCCTTTCTTTACCTTCCCTGGCTTCTAGTAGCTTAGCTTACAGGCTCTCATAAAATATAGTAGAGGTTTGGTAGTAGAAACTGGTGACCTTGAAGTAGCAACGAGTGCAAGGAAGCAGTCATTACAGCTTTGTTTTTTAGCAGGATTTAGCAGTGATACTTGAGTGATGATTCTCTTTAGTTGGTGATGAAGGAATTGCTTGTTTTGTTGTAGCTCTCATGCAGATATTAATTCTGGCTTGTCCAGCTCTATCTTACATAGTTATTTAAGTTATCTGTGAGTGGAAGGGCGGTGATTTTTGCAAAGTAAAAGAAGATTTAAGGCTGTCCTGGCATTACGAGTATGGTAGGACTGTGTCTTATCAACTGCTAGAAACAAGTCTTTAGAAACAGTGAAATGGATGAAAAACAGGTTCAATTGTAGGACCACACACTTCGCATATATTAGGTAAAGTGTTTTTTTCCTCTACTTTTCTTCTCTTTGGCTACCTCCACAACGTACTGGAAAGTTAAGAGATGTTATAGAATATTATCAGTTCTCTTTTGTTTCTAGCTAATGGGCACACTTGTGTCAGTGCTCCTAAAAGTTGTACTTGCTGTAATTTGTAAAATTCTGAAAATCTGCTTAGTGTTGATGATCTGTCCATATCTACTAACAGTTCTGTAAACAGAATGAGGACAGACCTTTAGTATTATTTCTTTAAATAATAATGGCCAGTTCTGACTGAGTCATAGAGGGTAAACATCATGGCTAAAAAAATAAAATAAAAAGAAAACTCTTTTAACACACCTTCAGCTTGAAAAGAACTCTAGTGTGTTGCAGCTAAACATACAGAGATTGTGGTGTACCTAAAATACATACCAGCAACATCCTCAGCACTTCACCAGAATCCTGAAGCAAGACTTTCTTGCTGAGGCAGTATTATGACGTTGAGCTTGTGTTTACGTTTGATCAAAAATAACTTTTGAAAAAAAGTAAGAAATGTTGTGTTCAAATTATTCTGTCAGCGTAGCTCTCATATCAACACAACATGCATATCTTACTGAAAATAAAAAATGTAAAAAAAAGAAAAAAAAAAAGTGCTAATATGTATGATAAAGTTTTTCAACTTTAGGTTTTTGCATTCCTCTCTTTTAGGACGCTGGTAGGTGCAGTAGAGGTACAGCTTTATAAAGCATTAGTATTTTTGAAAGAATTGCTTAAGAATTTACTTGGTAGTTGAAGTGTCCAAATACTGGTTTAGCCTTCACTTGAAGAAATGGACCAAAGGTGTCACTGAAAATAAAAATCACCTCTTTCATTCCTGTGGGAGAGAGATACAGTCCTTACAGTTTAATTTTTTTTAATATAAAAGTGTTATGATATATAGCTGTTGATCAAGATAATCCAGAAGACTTTGCCTGTAACTGAAACGTTAATAGAACTACTCCAGCATACAGTTATTGTGTAAACTGTAATTATGCATGCAACATTTTTTTTGCTGGTACAGTTTGAACAAATGCCTTAAAAAAAAAAAAAAAAGCTGCATGGAAGTAGTGGGAAGTGACAGAAACACTTCTGCTGCTTATACTTCAATACACATTGCAGTATGTCTGATTATGACACTTCTTTTTAGGGCCAAGTCTCTCTTCCAGTTTAGCTCTTCTACTAAGCCTGTGTTGATTAAAGTGTGAATTGGGACTAAAATCTCGTTGTCTGAATGCAAGAGTCTCTGCCTTTCCATATATTTTAGTCATGTAAAATAACTAGATTTTGGAAAGTAAGCCTGGGGAAAAAAACACATCTTCCTTGCTGCTACTGTTTGTTTAAAACCAGACAGGAACTGGAATCTAGGAAAACTGATTTCCTGTTGAAAAATGCCCATTTGGCATGACTCCCTCCTTTTCTTATCAACCTACTGTAATGCTATTTATATTCTGAAATTTGGTGTTTTAATGAAAGTGTTGGAATTCAAGATTAGAGAAGCTACAGCCTATAAAACATTCTAAATTTGTTCTATCAATACCTGAGGGCATAAATCTTATGAAATTGAGAATTCATTAAGTACTTTAAGATGATTGAGTGAGCAATTCCTAAATTTTAGATGTGTTGTGCCTTTCAAAGTTTAATTGGTTTGAAATGTACTTGATATTGTATCTAGATAATGTAAGAGTTAAGGAACTGATCAGTTCAGTGTTATGCACATTTTATATAAAAGCTAAAATTAGTTTAATGTCATAAAAGTAATACATCAGAAATGCAGCGTTCTCTGTGAATTCCGAGTATTTTTTCCAGATTAAAAAAGGATACTTTTTACCCTTCAGCTGGAGTCACTCGATAGTGGGGGTGTTTGTATTTTTTTGTTATTGTTGGTTTTGTTTTTGTTACTGTTGGTTTTGTTTGTTTGTATGTCAAACTTTTTTAAAAGATTTTTAGGAGTGTTAGGAGTTGAAATCGTTCTCTTGAAGGGAATATTTCTGGCTCTGCTTATATTTGGCTAGGACTTGCTAGCTTGTTCTTGGAGTGAATGCTGAGTGAAAATTTAGACTAACAAATCAAGCAGGACACTAAAAACAAATCAAAAAAACAATTGTTTTTTAAATTGAGCCAGAATAGTCTGCAACTGCTCCAGCTTTTAAAATCTTTGATCCAGTTCGTAGCAGACTTGGAAGAGAATCAAGTATTGGCTATTAGCCCATGTACTGGGATGCTTCCCTGCAGTGAACACAAGTACAAAGTCCTGCTTCAATTAGTTCACTCTAATTTTACCACCATATTACTAAAATTACAACAAAATAAAACTTGAAGAATATGTATGTATAAAATAATACAATGGTAAAATATAATTAATCTCCACAAGTGATATGCTTAAGAAAAGTGGCAGTGCACACAAGCACACTTGTAACATTTTAAGTTGTGGCAAAGTATGGTAATATTTCTTTGAGGATTTTCCAAAGGGATTTGTACAGGTACTGTATAAATCATGTCATAGGGAGGAGATGTGCAACAGCATCACAACTGAGGCTTCCCTGTATTGATCTGTTTATTATTTCTGTTTAGAGTTTTGGCAAAGAGATTGATACAAGATTTGTCAGTGAAGAGACAGCGTGCAGTCGCTTAATGCTGAGGATATTCTTGCCTTAAAACAAACAAAACAACAAAAAAAGAAAAAAGAAAAAAACACTTTGTGGCTAATAAGCTTAAAAATGGATGTTGTATTCTAACCACCATGGGTACTTGAACAAGTTAATGTTCATATGCCAGTTTACATTCTTGTATTGTTGCTTATGCGTCTGGTTAGAGTATTCGTGTCCTACTTTTTTTTGGCATTTTTCAAACCTTTCTTCTTTCTTATAATAAGTCTGTTTATAGGTGCCATAAATTACCTCATCAGTTGAGGACTTTTTGCCTGATTCAGTGGACTTAAGATTAGAGTGTACAAATGTTTTGAACTTTCAACTCTACATGGGTAACTGATGAGGTGTACAGTTAATTAACTTACTACTTTTTCTTCGGAGTTAAGTTTGTGCTAAAACTTAACTGTGTGTTTTTTCCCTATGAAAACAACAAAGATGATTTTGGCTTTGTTTGGATAATGTATATTTAAAACTAGATTAGTTGCAGAATTTTTATTAAGCATTATGGCACTTACTAGCCCAGGCTGTGGTTCAGGAGGATTAAAATGTCATCAAGAAATCTTTGAAACCGGATAATTTGTTAAACCATTTCACTTTTGAAAATGAAGAGTTGATTAATATGCTAGCTGGTTATTATTCTCAAACCACAGAAACATATTACCCATTTTGGTAGAAAAGGTTCTATAAAGAATTACCTTTCTAAACCCTTCCTTATTCTTTATAGTTGTATCTATATGCTCTCTCTAAAGTTTTGTCCAGCTTTTGGTGATCTGTGTGCATATAGCTATGGATTAAGCTGGACATATTTCATCTGCTGGTGGCTGGCTGCAGTATCTGGTGGAGATATGTAGGTTTAGAAGTCAGAAGGCTGAAGCTGTAAGGAAATGAGAGCTCATAGTGCAACTTCTTAAAAGTTGTTTCAGAACTGTTCATGTTTTCAACTTTTAATATGTTCTAATACGCTTTCAGGTGTTAACATCTTTTCCAATAAAGAGTGTCAATTATTTCCCAAGCATCTCTAAATTGAATAGTAGGAAATGATTCTTCGGTATATTTTTGTTGTCGTTGTTTGCTTTTTTAAAATATTTTTCTTGGATCAGGGATGCAATGGGAGATTCTTAGCACTCAGAATCGAGAATAGACTTATTCAAATGTTTAGTTATATTAACAGATGTGGCCAATATCTTTTAAATTTAATGTATGAAGTATCAAAACGTGGTGTTTTGACAACATTCCAGCTACATATGGGAATTAAGACTGAACTCTGAAACTGAGGGACAGATGAAAGATTTTTCACTTAAAATTTCTTCCCTGTCATTTCAAGTACAAACTCATTACCTTTATGACAGTGTTCTTACATACCTACTGAAATAAATATAGAAGTGAAATAATTACATTTGTTTCAACATGCAGCTAGTTGGTCACCCTGATGTGTCCATTCCTCTCAATTCTTGTGTAAAAGAGTTACTTAAAATTTGGATACAACGGTAGCAGATGCTGATGTGGCAACGCAGACCAAACATTCCTTCCTGCCTTCGTCAGCAGAGCACGTTCTTCATTTAAAGGTCAAAGTAGCTTAACTAGTAAGGCTGATTCATGCAGATGTGGACTGTATGAACACAGCGTACTTTGGATTGTACACCCCCTGAACCCATAGTAAGGGTATAGGTTGAATTGATGAATTTGACATAATCATAGGTAATGAACTAAAATACTGACATTGAGTTTCAATCGTGACAACAGGGGCACAGTGGCAAAAGATATTCTCTGCAGCTAGTAACAAATTGGTTGAAACTAGCTTGTGAAATTGAAAACATTCAAATAGTCTTACAAACTATTTTTATCAAAGGTGTTTAAAGAAGAACCCTGCCCCCATGAAAGTTTCTCTTTCAGCACACACACACACAAAAATAAATACTGAACTGTGGTGTTCCCATTCTGGTTTTATAATTTGTGTTCTGCAGAAACAGTTTATACTTTTGTTAAGTACCTCAGTGAGTTACAAGATTCATGTTGTGTGGTGTGATATATATACATAACAGTAACAGTGAAATATTACACAATGCTTTTCTCTCACCTTTTGTGGTTTCATTACAAAATTCAGTTGTAACACTGACTCTTGATAAGCTGCAGTCCTTTTGTGTTGCTTGGGATTATGTCTGGAACTGTATGTCTGCATAGATTGAAAGACATGCATTCAAGTACCTGGGGGTTTCTGGATGTTTTCTGTCCCCTTCTCCAACCTTCAGGATGATACCTTTGCAGATAGTGACAGATGTGGATAAATTAATTCTGTATACTATATTTTTTTATCTGTGACCTCTCTGATTCTAGAAGATGCCAAGACAGATCAGATGGGTTTGGTCTCAGAAGTGTACAAGAATCACGGAATCAGAGAATGGTTGGGGTTGGAAAGCACCTTAAAGCCCACCCAGTTCCAACCCCCTGCCATGGGCAGGGACACCTCCAACCGGACCAATTTGCCCAAAGCCCCATCCAGCCTGGCCTCGAACACCTCCAGGGATGGGGCATCCACAGCTTCTCTGGCCAACCTGCTCCAGTGCCTCACCACCCTCTGAGTGAAGAATTTCCTCTTAATATCCAATCTAAACATACCCTCTTTTAGTTCAAAGCCATTCCCCCTTGTCCTATCACTACAATCCCTGACAAAGAGTCCCTCTTTGAGCTTTCCTGTAGGCCCCCTTTAGGTATTGGAAAGCCACTATATGGTCTCCCTGGAGCTTTCTCTTCTCCAGGCTGAACAACCCCAACTCCCTCAGCTTGTCATCCTAGGAGAGATGCTCTGGCCCTTTGATCATTCTCATGGCCGTCCTCTGGACTTTATGGTCACCATGTTTTTTTCTTAAGAGATGTTACTCTTTATGTCTGTTAACTCCAGCTTGTCAGAGGTTGCTTTGGTCTTACCTTAGCTAGCATATGTATAGCTTTGTGTAAGAGGATGTTGTATCCATTGAAGAACAGGTGATCTAAATTTTACATTTTGTTATAAAATGGTAGTGGAATTAAGGCACTTGACACTATCTGAGATCAAGAAAGGCAGGAAGGAGATTAAGGTGTTGTTGTGCTATCAAACTTATCAAAACTGCAGCTGCTTAATTTTCTGCCACATCTTAGGTAGTTGCTTTGGCTACCCTGCTGGTAGTGTTTTCTTAAAACCTAAGTAAAGGTGAGGTAGATTTGTGTACACATTTGTTTCTGACTAACGATGTTAGACAAAATGCTTGACTTGCCTGCAGTGCCTTTTTCATGCACATTTGGTGTTGTTTACTAGCATAATGCTCATTTCACCACTGGGTCATATATGTCACAATACTTAGGATAGTTCAGGATTCTTGTTTGTTTTTTTAATCATTAGCCAAACACATGGCACATCAAATAGACGCCTAGATAAATAAGGAACGCTTTAATAATGCTGTACTGAGTTTCATTAGAGAATGAAATGCAAAATGTAAAAAGAGAAAAATACATCTTTCTGCGTTTAGAAGCTGATAAAGTGTAATGGTCAATTTTAAGGAAGTTCCGTCATCTTTCTTCTTCTCTTGGTAGGCTATAAATGTATTGTTAATTTTCTTGAGGGAAATAGTCTTACAGATTAGTATAATAAAGTCTACCTATTGAGTTGTGCATGATGAATTGATAGTATAAACATGGATCTGGCAAAAAGAACTGAAGAAACATGAGCATTTTTCAGTCTAAAATATCTGTAATGCATGTTGGCAAGGAATGAATTTGAGATGGCTATTGTAGCATTCACAGTCTGTTTGCTGTCCTATTTTGCTTGCTTACTCCTTTTAGGCATATAGGATGACTACGCTTTTTCTACTACAATTACGTTCTACATATCAAGTGTTCCTTGTGGCAGGTTGTAGATGAATATAAAGTAAAAAGTCAGTGATGTAAAACTAACTAAATGTAAAACTAACTCTTACCTTTTTTGACTGCCATCTTGTTTCAATTTTAATATTTTCCTTGTTTTTAGAGGAAGTCCACATCTGAAGGGAACACCACATTATAAAGAAGAGCAATGTGCTCCTTCTTTAAGTCTAGAAATGAAGAAAGTGCTGGATCTGCAAGCTTCTATCACAAGGTATGCTCAATAATCACGTGTTTAGAATATTTTTCCTAATGAGAAACTTCCATATGAAACGGGAAGGGGATAGAAAAAGCTTTCTCGTAAGCCTAAGAAGTTGAGAAAGTATATTGCTGTTTAGGAATTTTTTCTTTCTGTGTTTGCCTGTGCTGGTACTGTTTGTATGTAGAAGCATGAAGAAAAGGCTATGTTTATGTTCAGTACTACATTATATTACGATGAATGTTTCTGTACTTGGGCTCAAAGTATGGATTAGAGATTTCATGGAAACCTAGGTACATCCAAGCAAAACTGTAGGCAGAATTTCAACACTTCTTCAGCTGTTTGCAGACGATCCTCATTTTTTTCTGAAAAAAGTTTATTTTTTTTTGTGGTGATTGCCTTCCCTATTCCCTATCAGAAGCATGAAAATGATATTCTGTGGTTTGTGTACTAGCTAAACCATTATTCTGACAATACAGACCTGTTAACGACTTCTGATCCCTAGAGAAAAACAGACACTCTTTTATATTCTTTATACCTTATTGTATAAAGGGTTTATGCACTCAGGTTATAATTTATTTGGTGTAACTTCTCAAGTTATTCATTATACAAAAGGCAGCTGTGTAGTGTTCATTACGCTAGGTGATAAATCTGTGACATGGGTTTGAGATAGAGATTTTTAGAGAATGACGAATACATTTGTTAGTTTGCAGTCCATGTTAGAGGATCTACTTGTTGCTACTGCTGATGGATTTCTCCATCTTGTTCACTGGGATGGTATGACCAATGGAAGGAAGGCCATCAACCTGTGCACAGTTCCATTTTCTGTGGATCTGCAGTCTTCTCGAGGTAGGTTTGTGTTTTGTTCTTTTTTTCGGTTGGTTTGTTTTGTGGCCATTTGTGGTTTCTTTGGTGGTTTGTGGTTTTTTGTTTGTTTTTGTGATCTTAAGCTATTGGAGAAATACTGTGTAATATAAAACACAATCTGTTCTCAGAGATGAGAAAAAATTGCCTTTTGTAAATCTGGACAAAGTAGCCAGTTTAAATTAGCTTTTGATGTGAAGTAGCAAGTAAGCAACTGAAAAGTCTGTTGGCTTTCAATATCATGGTGTTAATGTATTTTTAAATTACTGGTATTTTCTCAGCAGGTTCATTTTTGGGCTTTGAAGATGTTTACATCAGAGATATGGAATACTGTGCCACACTTGATGGTTTTGCTGTTGTTTTTAATGATGGCAGAGTTGGTTTCATTACACCAATGTCAAGTAGATTCACTGCTGAGGTATATTTCCTTTAGTATTTATAGCACACATTCTTCGACAGAAATTTTTCCCCTGGTCTCTGCATTCCAGTTAGCTTTCCATTTTAACTTATGTTCAGCTACAAAGAAAGAAAAAAAGATAACAAACGTTTAAGAGATAAAATAGAAACAGTACTGTATTTCATACCATAGTTTGAACTAGAATCTCTTAGGACTAGTACATGTCTATGGGAGAACATAACTAGTAGTAGATTTACTTTCTAATTGTTTATTGTTTCAGAATGTCATTATAGTTCTGAGGTCTTACTACTGTTTCTGTGACAGACTTTCTGTTTACCAGCCACAGGTATAGTTGTGCAAAGTGGTTTCTCCTATGGCAAAGTATCATAGGTGCTATTTCTAGCTGTAATTAAGTCTTAACTCTTCTCATAGTGACAAGCATGTTTCAGATTTTTTTTTTTGATGGAAGCTTTTGTAAGCTAAGCACTTCCTTACCTGTAATTCAGCGTACAAACCTACATTTTAGCATTCAATCTCTTCCACTTTTGGTTACACCTGAAGTGGTCAGGCCATCAGACTAGATCTCTTGAAGTGCCTTTCAACCATTCTATTTGTTTTAATTACAAAAAAATAATAAAATTGTTTACTCGGTCCCAAACTCCTTCACACTCTTAATGTTGCAATTTCATTTATTGGAGATGGGAATTTATTTCTCTGGTTTTTGTTTTGCCTCTGTCCTTGGTACCACCTACCGATTTTTAGATGATACAAGAACACACCTGCCTTATAAATACTGACTTGCTTTGGTTATTCAGAGCTGTGATGCACAAAAACTATTGCATATAAAACTGGTTTCACTGTTCCTAATAAAAAATAAAAATCAGGAATATGCCAGTACATAGGGAAACTATTCTTCTGAAGCTAGTCAGTTAATATTGATATCTGCAATTGAAATTTACCAAGGTGATGAAGGTCAACTGGCAAATCTGTTATATGGTGTGCATAGGTAGCATGTGGGTAGAAAGCGGATAGCATGAGTAAAAGCACTGTTGAACACCAAATCTTTTGACTTCCTTCCTTTACAGCAGCTCCATGGTGTTTGGGCACAAGATGTGATTGATGGAACTTGTGTGGCAGTGAATAACAAATACAGACTAATGGCATTTGGATGTGCTAAGTAAGTTTTGCAAGGCTGGTTCAATGGGGAAAAGAAGTCTTTCCTTGTAAAAACAGAAGTACTAATTTATTCTTACCAACTTGTGCTGAAAAAGCTTTAAAGATGAAAAGGATCAGTCTTCCTAGGATAAAATGCTGTGTCAAGAAATTAGGAGGGAATTTTTTTTTTTTTTTTTTTTTAAATGCCTGCTTGAAATTGCAGTTGATGTTTTTTTCAGCTCTGAGGAGGAGGAAAAAAGTGGTTGGACCAGTAGTGAGGATTGGAAATGTGCCACTGTCCCAGTTAATTTCAAAGCAGGATTATAAAGTCAATTTTAAGCTGTTAATCATAATAGTACTGGACAAAAAGTAGCACTTTGTACCCAGCTGACAGTGATCTCTTCTGGTCAGGAAAAATGATGCCTATTTGAATAACTAGGAATATTTATAAATTAAACTTGAAAAATGCTGTAGTGTTTGATTTACTGCTTCTTCAAGACAGTTCCTCCTATATAATACTATTCCAGATAGTTCTGAGTGCAGCTTTTAAAGAAGTGTTTGTTTTTCAGAGCATTTCGTAAGATGTGATGATCTATGTTGTTTGGTCTTCAACTGTCTGAAATGGTAGTCTCAGTTATTGTAACAAAACAGTATGTTAGCATTTGCCTTTGAAAAATAGTTACTATAATTTTTTTAGTTACTTCTACGCTGCTGATGAAACTTTAGCAACTAGTAAAAAATGAGTTTCTTTATGTGGATTGTCACTGTTGGAAGCTATGAACTATGTGGGTTGTGTATACATGGATGTTTTCAGAAAATATAGTCTTGGTTATCATAAGATTGGTTTTTCAGGTCCTCCACTGCCTTATTAAGTATGTTTTACAAATATGTTTTGTAAAGTGCTATGAGTGTTACTTGGCATAGTGTATCTGTTCTGGATGAATTTTGCACAAGTGAGAAAATAGCAGACAAAAATTAAGGCATTAATTGTTTTCTCCTTTTAGAAGGACAAGTGGATATTTATAAAAGTCCTTGGCTTTTAATGAACTTAATCCAGCCTAAAGTTGTGTTATCTGCATTGACAAATTTATTAAATTATTTTTATAACTTCTGTATATAAAGTAAAGAGTGAACTGTTCCTGAGAGTGGGAACACTGCTCTCAGATAATATGTAACAGCTTTTATTAACATCTTGAAACTGATGAGAAATCCGAATGGTTTGTAATCTAAAGCATGTGTAATCTCTTTCAGTGGCTCTGTGCAGGTTTATACAATAGATACCACCACTGGAGCCATGCAGTTTTCTCATAAATTGGAGCTGACACCAAAACAATATCCTGGTGAGCTAATTTTAATGCTAGAATTTTCCATCTGTTTTTGGGGAGGAACAAAGAACATTTTACCAGTTAACTATTTCTTGTTTCTATTACCACTGACAGCATTAGTTGTTTACTCTTGCACATGTGTTGTAATTTACTCTTGTATATTTGCTCTTTTTGCTGATTGCTTTTAACTGTCATTTGGATGTGTTTCATGTGTGAGTTTTTTGGTTTGATCTGAGTTAGTAGGTTACAGATCTTGCTGCTGTCATTTGGTGCCTTTTTAAGTGTTGCAGGTGTCTGTAGTTCCCACGTACAGTCTTTGGATTATTTTTCCATGACTTATCTGGGAAAATGAGATTATTGTCAAATATGAAATGAGCATAATAGAGGTTTAAAAGAGGTAGGAGTCAACTTGAAACAATATGTACAGGGTCCCAAAATTACAAACATTTTTTTAAAGCATAGTTATGTCATAGCACAGTATATTTTTGGCCTGTTTTCATGTGCTTTTAGTTTTCTATGAAACCAAACATTTGAAAGAAATTGTGAATTCTTAATTTGCTGCTTATTCATTTCAATGAATGCAGCAAAAAGTTACTGAAAAATCAAGTACTTATTTCTGTATATTTTTGTTTCTACTGTTAAGATAAGAGCGGTTGAAGGACATGACATTTCTCACATGGTATTTTACTCTCTGTTTTTAAACAGATATTTGGAATAAAACAGGACCTGTTAAACTAATCAGATGGTCACCTGATAGCTGTGTTGTTATGGTGACCTGGGAATGTGGAGGCTTGTCCTTATGGAGTGTTTTTGGTGCTCAGCTTATCTGTACTTTAGGAGGTGATTTTGCGTGAGTATGTCTTTCTCTAATGAAATTGTAAAATGTTTTATTAGGAAAAAGTTATTTTTCTAATTAAAATATACATAATTAGAAATTAATTAATTGAATTATTTTGTAATCCCTTTCCATCATAATTCCATAGATGTTGGCGTCATTGAATGATACTTAGGAAGAGATCATATGAAAAAAAAAAAAAAGTATTTTTTTTTTTGTAGTGATCTCTTTTGGCCATAAAGGCAAATTACCCTAAAGCTAGGCCTCAACAGGCAAATATTATTAAAATTCCTTCAGTACCAGTATGTATTTGTTGAAAAATTGCCAACACACAAATCAAAATTCAGACAGTTTACTCTAGACACCTGACAGTTGTTTTGCCTTTTATGCTTTTTAGTCAGAGGTAGGGCAAAAATGTGGCATCAAATGACAATAGAAAGGTAGGAAGATAATTTCTTATTTTGAAACAATGCTAAACTCAAATTTCTATTCTGTTTTTAAGGTATCAGTCTGATGGTACTAAAAAGGACCCTCTAAAGATCAGTTCTATGGTAAATATAAATGTAAAAAATACTGTAATGGGACACTGCCTGTTATTTTTTTAAAAATTATTTTTAGTAAAATAATTCTAGAGGGACCTGGACAGGTTTGGGAGGTGGGCCTGTGTGTACCTCATGATTTTTGACAGAGCCAAATGCAAGGTCCCGCATCTGGGCTGGGACAATCTCAAGCACAGTTACAGGTTGGGCAGAGAATATAAGAGGGGAGATTTAGATTGGATATTAAGAGGAACTCAGAGGGTGGTGAGGCACTGGCACAGGCTGCCCAGAGAAGCTGTGGACACCCCATCCCTGGAGGTGTTCAAGGCCAGGCTGGATGGGGCTTTGGGCAACCTGGTCTAGTGGGAGGTGTCCCTGCCCGTGGCAGGAGGTTGAAACTAGATGGTCTTTAAGTTCCCTTCCAACCCAACCCATTCTAAGAAAGATTTTCAGAAAAGCAAACTGGCTTTATTTGGCTTTATTGTGTTTAATGAGTAAGATGCTTTTACTATTCTTCATAACACAAATACTGTGTTGAGGGAAGAGGGGACAGCTGATGATTTTCATGTACTATGCCTGATCATCAAGTATGCACACAAAGCCTTTTCTTGGCCTTGCTTGTAATACTAAGAATGAATGCTGATTTTTTTTATTATTTTGCTTTCAGACCTGGGGTTCAGAAGGATATCATCTGTGGGTCATTGAGGGGAATTCTTCTCAAAACACTAAGCCTGACAGAGATGCAAAAAATGAACCTCAACAGTTTGGTATTCTGCAGTTTCATTTCATCAAGAGTGCACTCACTGTTAATCCTTGCATGGTAAGAGTATTGTTTTTTCATTTGTTTTCTTTTTGTTGTTGTTAGTGGTGGGTTTTTTTAGTTATTTTTTGTTAGACTGATTTTATCATAAAATCTTTAAAATGGTACTCTGAAAATGTTGGTATGCACTAATGTAACATAAAACCTATTTGTGTAAGCGATACAAAGACGAAAAACTGCCTTAATACCTATTTTTCATGTTGTTTAACTTGTTAATACAGTGATAATTTCTTTTTCTTTTTTTTTTTCCCCTGTACATGGAGATAAAGGGTTATTTGGCATTTATTTTCTTTTCTTTTTCAAAGAGTAACCAGGAACAAGTCCTTCTGCAAGGAGAAGATCGCTTGTATTTGAACTGTGGTGATGCAACACAGGCCCAGAACCCCAGAAATACTTCAGCACACTCTGAACACAAGCCTACCAGGGAAAGAGGTCCATTTTCAGATGGCAATTTAGATTCTCAGGGTTTAAGCACTTTACTAGGACACCGGCATTGGCATGTCGTACAGGTAATTCTCACTGGTTGCTTGTGCATGTTCTGAGCTTGCTGGAGTTTACGTGGCTGGAATTTGCAGCGAATCTTAGCATTCTGCCATACTTTTTTTTTTTTTCCTATTGTGAAATTCTTGCCTTTTTATTTCCTTCTGGGTTTTGACTGGTAGAGCTTTTTATTGAAAAATTATAAAGGATTGTTGACCATCTCAACCTTGTGTTGCACTTCAGCTAATAAGAATCAAAGTGTCTTTTAACTGTATGAAAGAAATTAAGAAATTAATTTCCTTTCCTATGCTTTGAAAGGGAAAGCAAGTGTGACTTGCAGAAAACACTTCAGAGATGAGTTCTGTTGTTTTTTGCAGATTGCTTTAAGCAAATTCAACTAATGAATATAGTCTTAGGACGTTGGCTGTGTTTTCAAGCAGTCTTAGATGGCATCTGTCTAAGCATGTAATTAAAACATCACAAAATAAAGCTTGGAAAGAAAAATTTATTTATAGGGGTAATCATAGCGCAGATTCATTTCTCTGCTATAGATGAAAAAATAAGTAACGTTTAATCTGTAATGCAATTGCCATCTTCCACAGTTTCAGACCTTCTAAAAACCTTTATTCAGAAAAATGTCTACCAACGTCTTATTTTTCACAGTGCATGAATTAGTATTATTAAACAGCATGTTACAGTAGGCATGTATATCTGGATGCTGTTGAATTTCCAGTGTAGCTAGCCAGATGCTGCTGTTGTGCAAAGAAAGGTCTAGGTCTTCCTCCTGTGTAGGAAAACAAAAATTAAGACAACTGGAATTTTTGTGGGAATCAACGTACCTGTGTGGACAATGAAGGCACTTACCTGTTTTGTATTAGACCAGGGACTGAAGTTTGATCCTGGATTGTATCATCCCAAGTTACATGACAAGTCCAGGATCAAGATTCAATTTGACGCATCACAGTGAAGTGTTCTCCTAACAGGGCTCTTGACAGTGCTGGTGTGTGTTTCTGACTGGATTAGAAATTTCATTGCAACACTGGAAGTCCTTCTTGGCAGCTGTGTTTATTAAAGCTTGTACATTCCCATGAGAGGTTCTGATAAAAGAGACGGACCTAAGGGGGGAGGGGGGGGGAAGCAGCAAATTTTGACTGTTAATTTGTGATGTGTTACCTGTTTTATGTTGTTAATGCACTTCTTGTATTAAAAACAATTTAACACGTATGATTCGGGAACTTAATTGGAAAAAAGTAATTGTAGTTAAAACAAATACAATATTAAAAAGTTATAATTAATCACTACTTCAATGGTTCAGAGTATAGTAATTTTTTTGTTTTGGTGTTCTTTATTTTTTAGATACATAGTACTTACCTAGAGAGCAACTGGCCTATAAGGGTGAGTGATTTTAAGAATACATTCTTGCTTTTTTAAAGGTATTGGGGTTCTTAACAACTGTCCTTTAGGATTGGATGACCTCTAAAAGATGAAAACATTGCTTTAAGTTACAGTAAGAAGAATGTATTGGGCAGGAAAAGTAGAAAATGGGATAAAAACAAGATACTTCACAAGTTTTGACTCTAACATTTTATTGTCATATTGTAATGCACTTGGATAGGATATACCATTTAGATTATTTCTCTACTGAGGTCCTGTTTTTTTGTTTTCTGTTCTTTTGGCCAGTTTTCAGCTATTGACAAGCTTGGGCAGAATGTAGCTGTTGTTGGCAAGTTTGGTTTTGCACATTATTCTTTACTCACCAAAAAATGGAAGCTGTTTGGAAACATTACCCAGGTGAGAGGCTATGGAATTTTATTTGGGTATACTGGGGAGGATAAATATGTTGGAATGTGATTCTTGGAGGATGATTAAAAGTATCTTTTTCAGATAAACAACCTGACAATGCACTTGGGATTAGGGTAGTTGATTTTCCACATTTTCCATAAAATAGCTGAAACGTCTTGTGGTTTGGTGCAATAGTTCATGTCTGATTATTAATTGTTTCTAAATATGACTTCATTTAGTCAGACACTACTACTATGTATTATCTGAGAGTCTGTGTGAAACCCAGGTTTGGATGTTAACCTTTAAATTCTGGCCAAAAGCAAAAAGCTAAGTTGGCCAAAAGCAAAAAAGCTGAAGCTAAGTTCAGGGATGCCAGGAAACTAGGGATCCGTAGAACTGTGTCTCATAGGATGAAGTTTGTCCTTCACATACTACTCTTCAGTTCTTTGTTATTTTCAAACAGCCAAAAACTTCATATCAAAAGATCACCTTACTCTTATCAATATAGTTTGCTGTGTTTTCTTTTCAGGAGCAAAATATGATCGTAACAGGAGGCTTAGCGTGGTGGAATGACTTCATTGTTCTTGCATGTTATAATTTAAATGATCATCAGGAAGAGGTGAAGTATTTTTTCTTCAAAATTATGAAATCTTGCTTAGAATATCAGTTCTGTTCAAAAGTAGTAGTATAAATGAGTAACTTGATTTATAGGTGACTTCAGGTCACCTTCAAAAAATCTATATTAATGCTTTAATTTTTTGCACATAAGTTTACTATTGCTATGAAAAACTGTTTTCTGCTGAGAACCATGAATCTGCTCATTGATATGAAAACTTTGTGGTATTTTTAAATGTTTTGAGGTTTCCATTATAGAAAAAGGGAGAGTTTTTGTAATATTTAAAGAAAAATATGGACAGAAAACTTCAAATTTTTTTTAACTAATGAATGAAACTCCCCTATGTTTGTTTAGCATTTCAGATTTGACTGTACTTCAACTGCTTTGGATGCAATAGTAAAATGTAATGCCTAAATCATCTGTTGAAACAAACACAGTAATGTATCTTGCTAGAAATCCATGACAACCATTCCACACACAAAAAAAGTGGAAGTACTATCAAATGTTAGTAAACAGAACCTATATTTACACTACCAGTTTTCCTTGTAGCTGAGAATCTACCTGCGAACATCTAATCTTGACAATGCATTTGCACACATCACCAAAGTGCAAGCAAACACGTTACTACTGAGTGTCTTCCGGGACATCGTAATATTGTTCAGAGCAGATTGTTCCATTTGCCTTTACAGTATTGAGAGAAGGCCTGAAGGGTGAGTATTAGTACTTAAACAATTTTTTGTAAAGTTTTTGTAAATCTGCTCTCAGTCTGAGTGTATTCTCAGTTTGAGTAAATTCACATATATATGAGTATATTTATAAATACATAGAAATGAATATATAGAGAGATTTCTATTCAGCAATATAAAGTTGTTTGACAACTTGTAGAATCAGAATTTTAAATAGTGTCAGAGGAGTAAATGTCACTTGTATGCGCAAGTGATAATTCATGAGTCTTGTCACTTGTATGTGACAAGCAAATACACACGCTAAGCGTGGGGGTGTGCATGGAGGAATGCATATTCCAAGCTATGTATGCACAAACATGTGGCTTGTTCTACTTGATAACTACTTGAAAAGTGAATGTAAACAGAAGAAAAAGGTGCCGAAAGACACCCATGTATCTGAATATTTTAACAACAAAATATTTCTAACAATAGAAGTAGGAATTGGTGGAGGTAGGGTGGAGTAGCAAAGATGAAGACAGAAAAGGAAAGTTTGGCCTGTTCTGTGGTTGTGGGGAGCTATTTTGTTGCAAGATAAGTAGCAACAAAGAGCCAGATACTTTTGCATAGGTAAGTTTAGTGACCATAGAAGAGAGACAGATTCCCACATAGTTATTGAGTGTCTGAACAGGTGATTTTTCTTCCATATGGTATCTAGGTTTCAGCAATAAAGGACCTTTTAAGCAGAAAGTAAGCTATTGACCCACTTCAGAGGAAAATATTTTCAATGTTTTCCAAAGAAACTCAACAAAACTGGAGGTTGATCAGAGACTTATTCTGAAGTATCTGATTACTCATAAAGCTCTGTTCCCCAAAACTATCAAGATCCAAGCTAAGCTGCTGTTAGGTTTATTTGGTAACTTTTAGGTAGTGTAGATATCTGGGCCGATGAGATTTCTGTTTAAGGGGAAGTAATTGTGATCTGTAGAGTAAATTGTATGCTAAGTTGATTATTTTCATTAGCCTTGCTTCATAATACTGATTTTATATTAAATACTATTAAATAATTGTAACCCTTGTCATCTTTTATTTCAGTCTTAACCCTACTGCCAGTGTCCAGGTTCTTCAAGAAGTGTCCATGTCTCGATACATCCCCCATCCTTTTCTTGTAGTGTCTGTTACGTTGACATCGGTGAGGACAGAGACTGGCATCAGCTTGAAGATGCCTCAGCAGGTACAAACACATTAGTGCTCAAAATTGGGAAGAAATTTTTGCCTGGATTTGTTAGTTTAGTTCTCAAAGCTTACCTGAGTGATGAAAATCATAAGTCAGTGGTTCTTCTGCCTGGTAAAATGCCATTATGTTTTTTTCCTGGTGCTTACTATGAAGACTTTGAACTGGAAGAAAAAAAGTAAATTCTTACTTTTGTTTCATGTCTTCTCTTGTCATCTTGTAAAGTTTGGGACCAAATACTGGGGGAAAAATTAACTATGCCTAGGGAAACGCTGAACACCAGAGCTCTGCATGGCACTAGGAAGTGCCTATTCTACAGTAATAAGTCAACTACAAAAGCATCCGTAGAAAAAAGATGGCATATTATCTTATAAGGTTACTTCTAGTCAATTTCATACTACACTATATTTACACTACAATGTAAAGTGAAAATGGATTTTTGTTGTCTGTGGTGTAAATAAATAGAGTTTAATTATTTGATTAGCTGCATTACGAAGCATTTTACCTCACAGAAGCTACTTTAAGATAGTTCTGAAGTTGTGTTATCTGTCAATTAGGGCCCTGGATATATGACATGTATTTTTTCTTCGCATAACAAAGCCATTGGCAGATAACAAAGCACTAGCACAAGTGTGTAAAATCCAAAGGTTTGCATTGCTTTCTCCAGTGTATTCTAACTGAGTGTGCTAAACATGTATCCTAAGACTTTCATGTGATCTTGGGCAAGCTTGCTCTGGTTATGTCCCTGTGCCAAAATTGTTTAATTTTTTTCTTTACCTCTTGTCTAGTAAGTCCTGGGAAGACTTACTAGTTCCCACAGAGTGGTCAAATGGTCAGATTTAAACAACCCAGACTGGCAAGTAAACAGTTAGGCCTCTAGGTACACTACATATTTATACAAGCAATTGATGTCAGGGATTTATATTAAAAGTTGGTACTGATCAAAAGAAAAGCATTAACGTTAGCACTGAATATGATGTTGTACTGCCCTTTGGACAAAGCAGTGAGCCTGACTTAATGTGTGTCAGCCTTTTCAGTGTCGTTAACCACTTTTGATCTTACTCCCTGAGTCTGCAAATTTACCATGCAGGCCCTATGTCTATGCAGATTAAACTTAATGCATAGCCTAGTAGAAGCTCCAGTGACTTGGTTTAAGATTAATATGAAACAGTTCAAGATAGGTTCAAGATACTGTACAACTGTGGCTAAACTTATGGCACATTTACCAATGTTAGTCTGCTGTAAGATGCTAGCATGTAGCAGTGATACTGTTAATGCAAAGCTTTATTTATCTTAAAATACGGGTGGCTTGCCCGTGTCAACAGGTTTAGTTGACATTATAAGACCTTCTTACTTTTAGGCAATAAAAAATAAACATGGAATCTAGTAAACAGAAAAACTCCAGTGTTAACTCTCTGGCATAAGACCTGTATAAATGAATATATCTGTAGGTACTCTGTTATGCTCGAGTCTTCTGAGTCCTTTTGCATTGAATTAGACTTAGTCATCTCTATATGGATTGAGAAGCTATTGAGTTCACTTGGGCAGAAAGGCCTAGTGTTAAACAGAAAAGCAAAACCAATTAAAACAGTTCTTTCAAGTGTTGTGTGCCTAGAGACACGGATGGAGGTATAAGACCAAGACTAAGGAAATACAAGTTTTATAAATGGAAACACTTGATTCCTTCAAACATTTGTGTTGATTTATTTACTGTTACTCTTCTTTGAATGGTAATGCTTGTAGTATGTGAAGTAAATTTATTTCACTTCCAATTTTGCAGTTTAGTAAATCTCTATGAATGAGGTATCAACTATTTTAAAATCAGTCTCATGGGTAATCATAGAATCATTAAGGTTGGTGGTTGGACCAGGTGATCTTAGAGGTCTTTTCCAATATCTCCCACTAAACCACATCCCTAAGCATGGCTCATGTTCAGGTGAGCATCTAACAACACCCCCAGATCCTTTTCTTCTGCACAGCTTTCCAGCCACTCTCCCCCAGACCTGTAGCATTACATGGGGTTGTTGTGGCCAAAGCGCAGGACCCAGCACTTAGCCATGTTGAACCTCATCCCATTGGCCTCTGCCCATCGACCCATCCTGTCCAGGTCCCTCTGCAGAAGCCTTCCTACTCTCCGTCAGATCCAACACTTCCCCCCAAATTGGTGTCATCTGCAAACTTACTGAGGATGCACTCAATTCCCTCATCCAAATCATCATTAAAAAGATATTAAAGAGGATGGGCCCCAACACCAACCCCTGGGGAGCACCACCAGTGAGCGGTCACCAGCTGGATTTCATTCCATTCACCACCACTCTCTGGGCCCAGCCATCCATCCAGTTTTTAACCCAGCAAAGAGCTCCATGGGCTGCCAGCTTCTCCAGGAGAATACTGTGGGAGACCACGTCAAAGGCTTTGCTGCAGTCTAGGTTGAAGCCACCATCCCTGTGTGTTTAAAAAAAAAAAAAAAAAAAAAAAAAAGATTCTTGAGATTTTTGTATGATTTTTTTTTAATAGAGCATTATGCAATTCAGATTAAGAACTGTTGAGACATGTCTCCGTCTATCTAATGAAGTATCTGATCGACTGTGGGCATGTGTGAACAGAGTACTAAGTTTACTAGGGGGTGGCTGTTGGCTTTAACATAGTTACAGCTAGGTAACTAACATCTTGCAAGTTTATACACAAACTTACCTTGTAACTTGTTAGCTACAGGTATGAAACATCCAAGGAAAGCAGTGTGTGGAGTTCAAACATGCCCTGCTTATGCATGCTAGTTCTGGAAAGCAAAACTGCTGGGAACCTGTTGGATAGGGGTTTTTTTGTTTTGTTTTGTTTTTGTTTGTTTGTTTGTTTTTTGTTTTGCCTGAGAAGCAGAAGCTGAGCACTGTCCTAGTCCCTTTCTGGTCAGAATCCCTCTTGGAGGGTAACTAAAAATATAGTATCTTATAGTCCATGAATAATAGTTGTGAGCTCTCTTTGCAGAGGCTGTGCAGTTAATTTATTCTTTCTATTCTGGGTTTATATTGTGGTTATGGATAAAATGATCCATGCAAAAAGTTTAAACAAGTGATTTGCATTAAAACTTTTTTATCCTTAGGCTTGTGAGGCTGAAAGTATTATGCTAAACTTAGCAGGACAGCTCATCATGTTGCAACGGGATCGATCTGGACCCCAGATACGGGATAAGGATAATAATCCTAATCAAAGGAAGCATGTGAGTGATGTCATATTTTGTATGGCTTCAAAGATGTCAATGACTGGAGAATTTGTGAAAGGAAGCAGTACAGCAGTTAAAAAAGAAAATAAAATGTATTTACACAGGGCAGTATCTACACTTACAAGCTGAATTGTTAGCTGGAAATACAATTCCCATGATGTTTTTCCAAGAATTTATGAAAAGTTACTAGTTACTTGTGTAAATATCTAACTAAGTATTCGATACTTGTTTTTACTACAAGTATTTACTGTTTGTGTTGCAATGAAAAATGTAAGTTTTTAAGAGTAAAGGTCCTGTGCAATACTTGGTATGCAGTAATAGTAGAAAGTCTCCAGTCTATCTAAAACTGTTTTATATATTTATGAAATGTTGTTTTTGCAGAATATATCTACAAAATTTCTAGAAGCAACAATAATAAAAATCACATACTGAATTTTCAAGTACTAGTTTTTCTGTGCTGTTGAAAAACCCTTTGGCTACATGAAACAAGGAATTAAGGAAAGTGAAATCTGGGAAGTTTATATGAAGACTCATTTGTAGTTCAATCAAACGCTAGCAGATTTTGTCTTTGTAGTAATTCTGTCATTTCTTCATTGGACTTTTGGATAACTGAAGAAGGAGAGAGCAGGTTTTTGCTTTCTCCCTTATCCTCTTCCCTCAGATTTCATGAGTGCTATAAGATGGTTAGAAAAAGAAAAGAAGTGTCTATTGAGTTAACATAGGTAATATATTACAGGTGCTTTGCAGAGAGAACAGTTCTTAGCTGAAAGAAGAGCTCTTGTGAAGGGTTCAAAAAAAAAGGTACAATGAAATGACTTTTTTTTTTTTTTATAGCTGCCTTTCTGTGCTCCAGTTGTTCTAGCCCAGTCTGTTGAAAATGTGTGGACTACTTGCAGGATCAACAAACAGAAACGCCACTTATTGGAAGCTCTTTGGCTCAGCTGTGGTGGGGCAGGTATGAAAGTCTGGCTTCCCCTGTTTCCCAGAGATCATCGAAAACCACATTCCTTTCTGTCAAGACGGATCATGCTGCCTTTCCACATCAACATATACCCACTGGCTGTTTTGTTTGAAGATGCCTTGGTTCTTGGTGCTGTTAATGACACTGTGCTCTATGACTGTTTATACACTCAAACCAGTGCTAGAGAACATTTAGAGGTTCTTTTTCCTTTCTCCATTGTTGAGAGAACCTCTCAGATCTACCTCCATCACATTTTACGCCAGCTGTTGGTTAGGAACCTTGGTGAACAAGCCTTGCTTTTGGCTCACTCCTGTGCCACATTACCATACTTCCCTCATGTACTAGAACTGATGCTTCATGAAGTGCTGGAAGAAGAAGCTACCTCGCGGGAACCCATTCCCGACCCTCTGCTTCCCACTGTGGCGAAGTTCATTACAGAGTTCCCCCTCTTCCTGCAGACAGTAGTCCATTGTGCTAGGAAGACAGAGTATGCCCTGTGGAATTACCTTTTTGCTGCTGTTGGAAACCCAAAGGACTTATTTGAAGAGTGCTTAATGGCCCAGGACTTGGACACAGCTGCCTCTTATCTTATTATCCTACAGGTAACGGTACCCTGTATATTGTAAGAAAGGTAGTATTTACTGAGGTTATATTACTTAAAAAATGTTGTCAAACCAAAGTTACACATGTTGAATACATTTTAAGTTCAATGACTATGCCCAGTGGGGAAGGAGACAATATCAGGCAATGCGAGTTGTTAGCTTACAGGTGGAAAAAAAAAAATAAGGTAGAAAGCTAGCTCTTTCCTTTAATCTCTTATTTTTGAATGTGACGTGGTATGACTTGACTTAATAATCTTTCTGTTGCACAACAACAGAACAGCAAAAGCAAAGGACTTAATTATTCTTTGTTACTTGCAGAATATGGAAGTTCCAGCAGTTAGCAGACAACATGCTACTCTCCTGTTTAACACTGCCTTAGAGCAGGGAAAGTGGGATCTTTGTCGTCATATGATCAGATTTCTTAAAGCCATTGGATCTGGAGAAACAGAGACACCTCCAGCTACACCAACAACTCAGGTCTGTGGTGAAAAGAGTAAATACTACACATCAAAACTTGCATGATTAATCTTGCTATCATGTAGCATGTTTACTCAGTTGATTTCAAGTCTGTGTTTTCTTGGTTTCAGGAACCCAGTTCAAGTAGTGGCTTTGAATTCTTCAGACATCGCAGCATTAGTTTATCCCAATCAGCAGAGAATCTCCACAGCAAATTTAACTTGACGAAAACACTGAGTATGCCCTCTGGCCCATCTGGAAAAAGGTAATTGGTAGTAATTTTCTCTCCTTCCCTACTTTGTTTGGTAATGTACTAGCTCTCTTCCTAGTTTAAGCTATAGAAGCGCATTGTATTCTAGAGACAAATCTGTCATCACCTCCCTCCACAGCCTTCTTACCATCCTGGGAGAAGACACATTCACATACATGCATATACTTATATAGTGACACACTTAAATGGATATTGCTCACCAAAATCCAGCGGATGCCCCTGTAGTAATTTAGTTAGTGAGAACACATGCCTCATATTAGGAGGATCTGTTCTACTGAAAAATGCCTTTAACACCTCACAGTGTCATAAGATACACTGCACAGTGCTGTTGTGTGTATCTTGACCTAGCAGTGTGTTGATGAGCCATAAAGTCTTTTATACATTTTGGTAGATCTCTCTCAAACTGCTGTACACAGAATTCATATTGATGAGTATTAATATTGAGAAGAAGCAGAGAGGTAGGATTCGTTATTATCTTGGTTTTGTTTTGTTCCTGTATAAGACTTTCAAAACAATTTCACTACCAACTGTAATTCTTTCAGATAGTAACTTTCCATAGATAGTACTATCACAAGAGTTTTGAAAGGAAGTGTCTTAGTTAATGCTAGTCTTGTTTTCTAAAGCTGTATCTCAGAAGTCACTTTGCAATGGCGTCAGCTTCTTCTATCTATTTTTTTCTGCATTTTGAATGGTTTGAAACTCAATAGATGCTGTTGCTGCTGCAATTTTCTTCCTTTATTTCACTTGTCCATTGTGGCAATGGGATCATTCAGAGAACGTAAGCAGGAAGGAGTGGTAGAAACTGCTGTGGCCACTTGTACTGTGGCTGTGGCCAGCAGTCCTTACAACTCAGTCCAGCACCTGATGTGACTGTCCTCTGATCTGTCCATAGGTGGAGTAAAGACAGTGACTGTGCTGAGAACATGTACATTGACATGATGCTCTGGCGGCATGCTCGGCGTCTGCTAGAAGAAATCAAGCTGAAAGACCTTGGTTGTTTTGCTGCACAGCTGGGCTTTGAGCTGATTGGCTGGCTGTGCAAGGAGCGAGCCAGAGCTGCTCGTGTTGAAGACTTTGTGTTTGCTTTGAAAAAGCTACACAAGGATTTCCTCTGGCCATTCCCAGTCATACCGGCTTCATCCATTAATTCACCTTTCAAGAACGGAAAGTACAAGACAGGTGCTGTAACATCTGAGTTGATTTGGACTAGGTTTCTCTTCTGCAATCCTACACCCATCAGTCTGAATATCTCCTTCCTCAATTCAGCCAAGCAAAGAACAGGCTGAGGCTTATGACCTGCATAGCCTTCTCATACAGGGTGTGTTTTTTGAAGGGATTCTGTTTAGCATAGACCTCATCTCTTGCACAGTCTGACTACACTACTGTTTATTCTGAGGTTTCTTACTTTCTTAGGTGCACTGGAGTGGATATGACTTGTGCAGGTAGTAAGTTGAACTGGGATACTGTTTGTTGATGTATATCTGCTATGGAAAATTATTAAGAAAATATAAATCAAAACTTGTACAGTTCTTAGGATGTACATAATTTACTTAATTATTTTTTATTAAAAAATAATGTTCCTAATCTTTGAAATTCTCCATGTGGTAGAGGACTAGAATTCTGAAAGCTTGCTGTAAACCTCTTTGCATTATTAGTCTCTAGTTTACCTTCTTAGGGCACAGTTGATAGTAGCTGCCAAGGCTTTCTCTGCCCAGTAGTAGCAGCACTGTTACTTAGTTTTATTGAGGCTAATACTTTATTAGTTGATGTTTTGTTGATGCCAGTGCTGACATAAAAAGCTGACCAGAAGTTCTTGAAGTACTGGAATTTACTGCATTCCCTTGCTTCTGGTGATCTCAACAAATTAATTGACTGTTGACTTAGTTATAAGTTTTACCTTCCCTAAATGCCTGGAGAGAACTTTCCAAACTTCCTTTTTGATGTTTATATGATCTGTCCTTTGGTGTATTTTTTTTTCCTTTGTTTGTTTTTTAAGCCATGGGGGAACAGCTGCTAAAATCTCAGTCTGCAGACACCTTTGTAACTATGGAAATGGACACAGGAGTTTCAAGCACACCTAGGAGTCGCAGCTGGCTTGGCGCTATGGGCTCCTCTCAGAGAGAAATTGACACGGCTTCATCCCATGGACCACACATGCAAGATGCATTCCTTTCTCCTTTGCTAAGTAAAGGTTAGTCACGCTTCCCTGTACTTGCCTATTGGAAAAACGCACCTGGAAATAAGCACCTACATTCTCATATTTGCATGTGACTACTGTATTGTTGCTTCTCAACTGCTGATACCATAATGCAGGGGAAAAAATAGAGGACCTGATGAAAATTGACCTGAAATTTTTATAACAGAAATATACTCATGTCATACATCTGTGAGTAGTTGAAGTAGAATATGAAATTCATACTTCATGAAGCTCCTGTCCTTGATGGTAAATTGCAATTTAATATTTTTACTCTGTCTGAGAAGAGTGAAGTTTATTTTTGCCTTTTGCACAGGTCAGCAGTGTTTTAGTGCATGAACTTTGTGCTTTTGGATTATTTAAAAGATGTTAGATACATTCTTTAATGAGGAATTTGAGGAAAGTATGGTCTGATACAGTGTTTTTTTCCCAAAAACCTTTTTTTTATCACTCTTCTAAAAATTCAAATGTATGATGAGCTCAAGAAAATAAAAGGAAATAAGATTCTCTGTGCACTTCCTGACCAGCAAGAGACAACTGTTAAGACTGAAAGATTTCTCATCTTTTTTTTCCCTACTCCCTCTTGTCCTCAAGCACTGAGAAACATCTTCAACCATCTGTATCCTGTGATTTCCACTTTACTAGGGCAAAGCCTGAGCATGAAGTACAATCTCTCCAAGATGCTAGAGCCTCCTGTAAGAGAAAAAAACACTTGGAGCTACTATTTAACAGGTTGATGGGCTCTAAAAAATGAAGGATGAGGTTCTGTACCTCTCCTTGGGCACTACCTTCCTGTATTTTCATTCCTATTTGTTGTATTTATTAGATTGCAAAAATGTATTTTTTTCTGAAAACAAACAAACAAAAAAACCAACAACAGAATTTAATGAGGAAAAAAAAATCTCTCTGCAGTTGTACTGCTGCCTACCACTACTGTCATTTCTATAGACAAGTATCTCACCTTTTTCTGAGCTGAATGAAGACCTTTGAGTTCAATGGACTTTGATAAGCATTTTGAAACAGTTTGTTTTTAAAGTGAATTAATAATCTTTGAAATACTGTCAGGTGAACTCTAGTAATAATTTAATAACTAATCCAGCAGTGGCTAACTACTGTGTAGTTTATCAGTTTCTGTAGGAAGTAGTTAAGAAATTCTGAGTCTTAGTAAAGTGAGTAGTTTTTTTCCCCTTATGTTTCTGAGTGTTTTTGATAGGTGACGAATGCAGCATTGGCTCAGCAACAGACCTGACTGAAACAAGTTCTATGGTGGATGGTGACTGGACCATGGTGGATGAGAACTTCTCCAGCCTAAGTCTAACTCAGTCAGAGCTTGAGCATATCTCTCTGGAACTGGCCAGTAAAGGGCCACACAAGTCACAAGTCCAGCTGCGGTAAGTATTTTGCATTTGAAACTTGGAATGACTAATACCCAGCATTATGAGAAAGAAACAGCCTGCAGTGTTTCTATACTGCTTGCACTTTGGGATTTTGTCTCTGGCTGGGGGGAAAAGAACTAAGAAGAGTGTTTTTTCCTATAGGTACTTGCTACATATCTTCATGGAAGCAGGATGTCTGGACTGGTGTATCATCATAGGTCTTATCCTCAGAGAATCTTCAGTAATCAATCAAGTTTTCAGTATAATGCAATCCTCCGATATTGATGGAGAAATCTGTCAGAATATCAAGACTGGCCTCAATGCTGTTGACAAATGGGCTTCTACAGACTGGTAAGTGTTATTTTTCCACCTTCATTTCTGTTCCAGTTGCGGATACTTAGTTATCTAAAGAAATAACTTGGGAGTCATCTCAGCCCCAAGTTAAAGCAATTGTTTAATACACTTCTGCAGAAAATTTATGGACAGACAGTCACTTAAGACTGAAAAAAACACCACCAATTTCTACTGTTCAATTATGATCGCTTTTTTTCATTAAAAAAGACAACTTCTGTACAGGAAGTATGCTAGAACACACCTTTTTATAGCAAGTATCTCACAATAAATTATGCTTTTCAGGCGTTTGACAAAAGTACCATTGCTAATTCACTAAAGATGTTCTATACCTTTATTTTCCTAGCCCTGGGTACAAGCCATTTCTAAATATCATCAAACCACAGATCCAGAAGCTAAGTGAAATAGCAGAAGAGCAAGTACAGCCTGAAGCTTTTCAGCCAGTGAATCCTTCGAAAATTACAGAACAAGCAAACACCAGAGCTGAGGAAAGCAGGACTTTGATTAGCCACGGCACTAATCCTCAGAGTGATGCTGGCAACAGCAGTGCTAGCAGACATGAAGAGGACAAGTCCAAGACAGAGGATGAGGATTCATTCCAAGAGGGCAGTTATGACTGTATTGTGTCTTAAATGAAAGATGAACTACGTCCCAAACATCAGGTGTGAAAGGAAGCAAACCAGCTCTAGACATGCTTCCGTGCTTTGGAGTTGAACTTTTTTATATTAATCTTTCAAATCTATATTGGGGATAATATAACTAAGGAGCAGTTTCATCTAACAACTTCAGAAGAAGGCAAGATTTTTTTGATGCAATCTTCAGACTGCAGCTTTAGGTTTTGATACTTCGTAGTGCTGAGAGACAGCAAATAGCTATGTATACAGGCTCAGCTAATGTTCATCAGTCACTCTACATCACAGCTTACTTGGGACAAGCTACTATCTTATCTCTTGCTTGAGTTTAAAAGGTAAAGTGGAGACTAAAAGTTGTTCTCCTTCCCACCTTGCCTGCCTAAGAAATGTCTGATCAATGCAGATTGGTTTGATATCAATATTTTGTATGAAAGGAGTGTAAAATATATTGTATGTTTTTGTGAATACTCTTGTACAAATATTCAAGGTTGTACCATATTTGAAGGTACCCATATGTATCGCGCATGTTTCTAGATTCCTAGTAAAGATAAAGCAGAGTTGCACTTCTTTCTGGATGAGGCATACTTTACTGACCTAGCAGTGACACAAGGTGGCTTATCTGTTTGTTTTTTTTTTGTTTGTTTTCTTTTGTTTTTTAACTGCCACTTACAGATCTTATAGTTGGGTTTAAGGGATTGCTGAAGGTTATTTATTTCATTGTAAATTCTTTTCTGAAAAAAAAATGGATTTTTAAAATGTAAATACTCATCATATAATCTTGCTATGAAAAATTAGTTTAACAGCTCATACTTAAACAATTTTCAAACATTTTATAATATACATACTTGTAACTAAGACTTATTTAACTTTCATACAATGTTATGGAAAGCTGGCTGCAAAAGTCTGTTGCTTTGAGGTACCTTATTTTTTCTAGCTGCTGTCCCTATGTAATAACTACCTGTAACAGTATTAATTTAGATATTAGCTTGTTTGTACTGTGCAATCTGAACAAAAATGCAACATTGCTCATTTTATACAAAATAAACTAGTTTATTTTTTATAACATCACTTGATTACTGACATGGACCAAACAAGTCGTCAAAAGGTAGTTACAGCATCTGTTGCTTCCATAGCATAGTTACAAAATGCAAATCTATTTAAACTCTAAAAATTAACAACATTCACAATGAAGTTGAAATAAATTGTGGTTTTATTGTCTATTTCCTTTGCAGATAAGATCAAGTGCTTTAAAATGTACAAATATTAAATGGTTGCTTTAAAATGGCTTTATTAAGCCAATACAACCAGTACAAGTGCAATAATAGTATTACTTGGAAAGCTGGAGATTTTGGTGAATGGAGCTCGAATCTCCACTTAAGAGTTGAAACTAATATCAAAGTTTTACAGCAGAGAAATCCAGTTTGAGTCCCAGCATTAAGTTTAGTATGCATTATAGCTACTGGTTACTGATAATGTCTGTCATACTTCCTTCCAAATTAGTACCTACAAGCCTGTTGTGATTGGACTTCAGAATCCATTGTTTTAAGGGGATATTTAGAAAGCTTTTCTATGGAAAAAATATTTAATCTATAAGTTTTCATGTTAAAACAACAAATAAAAACTGCTTCCAAGTTAATATTTTTCAGTGATTCTGTGGTAATGCTGTAAGCCCAGCCCAGCCATCTTTCTGCTGTTCAGGGTTGGATCTGTACAAGTGAACACATGCGTTAACTGATATACTAAGATTCTTGGTATTAAACATCTTACTACTGTGCTGTTGTTTAGCAGTTAAATCTTTTTAGTTCTGAATTTTTAGAAGTTTGTACTTTAGTAGTAATTATCTCTATGCAAATTATCTGTGCTAATTTTGTATTTCAATCCCACTGCTGTTGTAATTAAAAGACAAATGTATTCAACCTTACTTGAAGTTACTACTGTGGAAGATCACACTTCAAGCCACTGGTAGTGAACCTTACCACAATTCCTGCATGTTTTCCTGGAGAAGCTAAACTCTCACAGGAAATAACAGATGAAGTGTTCTACTTTGCATTGTCTCCATGTGGCCTGTTTCACAGAATGAAGGTATCAGGCTTCTACGTTGAAAATTGCTTTATTAATGCATCTTGGAAGTTAAGTACACCTATTGCTTTGAAAGAGATGTATTTGGAAAGATTGTGCTAGCAGAGTAGGCTGCAGAGGTGGCCCCTGTTAGGAGCGGCACCATCAGACAGCCACTTCCATCAAGCTCCAACCTCCCCCCTGCTGGCCAAAGCTGAGCCCATCAGCAATGCTGGGAGCACCGCTGTGGTAACGTTCAAGAGTAAAAAGCACTGCAGAGCAGCAGTGAGAGAGAGGCGTGAGGGAGAAAAAATGAAAAATAGCCCCACTGACGCCAAGGCACTACAGCAGCAGGTGTCCTGCAGCCTGTGGAACGGACCATGGGGGAGCAGGTTCTCTCCTGCAGGCCCGGGGGACCATTTCTGAGCAGATACCCCATGGCAGCCTATGCCAGAGCAGATGGTGAATGCACCCTGCAGGAAGCTGCAGTGCATCACCAGTCCGTGCAAGGCACGAGCTCCCAGCAGGACTGCCAGCCTAGGTGAGGGTGGCAGAGGGGTGGGAGATAAGTTTTCTTGTAGGACTAGGGCCCATACTGGAGCTGTTCCCTCTCCCACCCTCTGGAAGGGACCCCACAGGTGAAAGAGGAAAGCCTGAAGAGGAAGGAGCAGCAGTGACTGCCCCAGCCTGGCTTGTGCTGCCAGGAAGGAAGCAGAGGGCTTGGGACTAGGGAGTTCAGAAGTTGAGCCTGGGAAGAAGGTGGGGGTGGAATATATTAAATCAATTTTCCCCAGGCTGAGTTTGTTTTACTGGTGATGGTAATCAGCGGTGATCTCCCTGTCCTTAGCTCACTGCTGAAGCCTTTTCATCTTACATTCTTCCCCCCATCCTCTTCAGGAGAGGGAGAGCAGCTTGGAAGCTGGCCCAGGTTAACACCCCACACATTTAGTCTTCTGCAAAATACGAGCTATTACCTCAACCCAAACAGGGGAGAAAATACATTTAACACACTGAAAATCAACATTTTCTATGGCATTCCAGCTTGCCTCTCACTTTGTTTATCCAGCTAACATAAAGCAGGCTGCCCTAGATCTTGCAAGGCCGGCCTACATAACCATTTAATGTCTATATTTAAAGATAACACATTTCATCCTTCACCAGCATTTGCTCATGACCATGTTTTCTTGATCTGGGTCTCATCCTGTACAACACTAATGTCAGCTGAAAAAGAGCAACAATGCTGGGTTACTTGCTGCTCACTGAAAACTCTCACAGGGTGTACCTGCAGAACTGGTTGACTGAAATAATAGTTCTTTGGAAAGTTTAAACCACCACTTTGGTCAGCTAAAGTAGATTAATTTTTATTTTTAACTACTGTTTTAACCAGTTGCAAAGCAACAAATGTAAAAAGCTAGTTTTAAAGCTACAGCTCCTATAAGCTATAGGTTGAGATCCACTGCTAAGTACATGAATGCATAATCTAGCTAGGACCGGTGCAGAAGAGGCCCTTTTTTTTGCTATCAATTGAGGGGAAAAAAAAGCTGTGTACTGCTACAATAAGATTATAAAACAATAGGTAGTCACCCACTGTTTAGGGCAGTAAGTTGCAACAACCAAAGGGACAAAAAGCCTTAAGAAAAAAATAAATGGCCACAGACACTACTTACTGTCTCATGATAGTTTATCCTAAAGCTGAGTGCTGGAGACTGTTGAAAGATTGTAATGGTTAATGAGATGAATGTTCGCTAACGGTGACTGGCAAAAATAATCCCAGTGCTTGAACTCGTAACAGAGAGGACAGGACCATGTATTGACTTTCTGTTTTTGTGCTGCTCTATTTGTATACTATTAATTACCTCCATTTTCATAAGTGAGGTTAAAGTGCAGAAAACTCTTTAAATGGGTTATTTACACAAGCAATAGATACCAATCGATACTCTCTCATCTGTACCTGGCAGGCAGCTCTTGATCACATAAAGATAAAGTTGGGCACGTAATCTGAATATAATGCAACTACCGATGTGGAAATGCAATCTGAGAACAGGTAGGAAGAGCTAAGATTTTTTCTTTATAGACATACCAAATCAAAGACAAAAAAAAAAAAAAAAAAAAAAAAAAAAGCAAAGAAAAACACTAAGAAAGAAAGGAAAATTCAGCTCCAGCACTGTTGTAGCAAAAAGATCTGTAGCCAAAGTCAGGCAGCAAACAAAAAGAGCAGAAAGTGAAAGTGACAGATCAAAGTTCAGTACTAAATAAGCAACCTTTTAGTCTCCAGAACAGAGACCATAAATCCACTGTGTATCTAGACACCTTAATTTTCTTTCTTCCAAGCAGCTTTCTCATATGACTCTTAAGTTAACTCTGAAAGAAAGATGCAACCTGAGATCTTAATGAGTTCTCTACATACCATGTACCATCTGAAATTAGTAACGCCAAGAAGAGGCTTTATAAAAACCCATAACTGAAAGTTGAAGCTAAATGACAAAGTTCTCTAATATTGATCAATTATCAAACAACAACATGCACACACACAGAAAACCAACATCCCCAAACAAAACATGCATGGACAACTAAGACACTTACTTAAATCCATCTGTACCTATTGTCTTTGAAGCTTAATTTATTACTAGGTAATTAACTTACCAATAGGTTCAAACGAATTTAAGTATTTGTCCCAGAGTTTCAGACTAGATTGACAGAATGATTCCTTTCTAGGCTAAATACTACAAAGCTTCAGGACTATTTTTGAGTTCAGAATAAAAGCCCTGGTTAAGCAATTTCATATCACAAAACTGTGGCTAGAGCATGTAGTTCAGGGCTATTGATGTTCCATGGTTTTTTTTGTTTGTTTGTTTTTTTTTGCAGCCATCCTTCACTAACGCTGCATATCAGATTTTAAGATCGGTCATCCTGCCAACTCCTTCTAGATCATTATCAAGCACCAAATTAGGCTCCATCCCCAAGGGAAAAGAGAAAAAAAAATAGTGAACAATACAACACACGCAGCACTCTTCAGCAGCTCTGTCCTATATGCTACAATTAGCTCTGTACAGACTTGTTAGATCTTGTCTATTTGATTAGCGTTTTCCAGCAGGCTTACAACTCAACCTAAATTGAACAGACATTAAAACAGGTATTGCTAATAAAGAACAGCTCCACCTAGTTCAGTCGTCTGTTCTTTTATGTGTCGTGCCTGAAACTCTCCTGTTCATTGCACTTATCCCAGCGTTTTTTCTGCAAATGCATACTTTCACTTGACATGCAATCTGAAGGCACCGTGACACATTCTGATGCTGCATTAGATTGCACAGTCACAACAGACACAGGCCTCCTTTGCAAACACATGCTTACATTGGTAAGTAACGTATTTCTGAAGCCCTTTTCCCTCTAGATACATAACAGAATGATGTGTGTTAATAAATAATGTAACAGACTCTTAAAGACATCAAAAATTAGGGGAGACCCAGAATTAACATAAAGCAAAGCAGCTTAGAAAAGGCTGTGCATGTGAACTATCTCAGATTAATATAGGTGAATTCCAGTCAACTAGCTGCTTATTGCCTGACTCAGAATAAAACCTTTTTCTATTCCTATGCCCTGCTATCCTCAAAATCACCACCTGCTTTCTTTGTGTTTATTTCACGGAGTAAGACATGCAGTTCTTCGTATAAGAATTAAGAAACTGCAGCAGCAGCAGACTGATCTGCTTTTATTGAACAGGGAAACAGACACACACAAATAGCAAAATTTTCTACTGTGTTTTTCTGCCTGTGATCAACAACATCGTTTGTTCTCAACTACCAGTTTTGAAAAGTATTTGCAACTCTGCTACCAATTCCTCCTCCAAAACGTATCTTGTTTCAAGGAAAACTTTTCTGTCCAAGCAACTAGGGCCAGAGTCCTCCGCTCATATAATTTTTTACATTCCTTGGCCATGCACATATTCCACATAGCTCTAACTCCAGATGTTTCCAGTATCACTTAGCAATACTTCCACTCAAAGCAAAAATACAACATTAACACAATAAATAAAGACAACTCAAATATGTCTTTAACAATCATGCTTACCATCAAGTTTTACTGATTAAGGTTCACTTTTATTTATAAATCCAGTGATTTACAACAAATTAGACATCCCTCATAATTAAGTTATTTAATAAAGGTTAAATCCTGAGTTAGCAACAGTTACTGCTTCACGGAAGTTCCAGAAATTGCTAACAGGCATTTTGACATTTTTGGCTCTCAGTATGACTTCTTCACACAGCACTTTTTTTAAAAGCTATAAATCAGACACAAAACAGAATAAGAATCAAATCAGGGGAAGACAGTAAATATCAGTGCAGCTTTAGTTAACCAGCTGTGCATTGGCTACAGCACAACGCATAGCATTTGTTGAGATTCAAGACACGTAACAGTTCCGAAGCTTCTTTTTTCCAAAACATTAATAGCACAAGTTTGTTTTTTAAATATGAATGCATAGTATACAGACTGTACTTTCAATCAAGCGAGTGATGATCAATTCACGTTAATGTAGGATGACACTGGTTTTAAGATACTGATGTCCAGTTCAGTATAAATACAGTAATTAAATCTCTGTCCCTAGTCCATGAGTCAGTCAACAATGTTTGCAAATGGACCTTGCAGCAAATATAACTGTTTCTTGCCACTTACCTACACAACTACAGGTCAATCTGAAGGGACGATACCTGAATGGGGAACTGCTCTGCTATCTATCACAGCTCACGCATATTAAAGTGTCACAAATTTCTTCCATATGCCTTGTAAGCTTCCCAGTATTAGCATGTTTCTACTTGAAATGATGATGCATGCACAAAGTCTGCTTTGCATGCTATTTGGCAATGT